GGGCCATGCTAATCTTGTCTAGGTTCTCTGTATCGTTCCAATTTTGACGGATGTGTTCCAATTTTAACAGATGTCCCGAGGGACTACAGCCAGATTCTGTCCAAAACATCCTTGCTAATTTACCTGCCTTCCCCATATGTACTTCACTCCTCCAAAGATAATCATCAGGTTCGTAATGGAATCCATCTGCAGTAGATTTCATCACTACCTGCAGGATTTACCTGCCTTCCCCAGCTGTACTCCACTCCTCCACAGATAATCATCAGGTGTGTAATGGAACCTACCTGCAGTAGATTCCATTACTACCTGCAGGTAATAATGAAATCTACCATCAGGCCCAGTCGACAGTAATCGATCGGATTGGATCCCAAGGAAATGGGTCTTCCGCCCTTATGATAACGGTCACTGAGTTTGACGGTTGAACGATTGCTTTTGCTTTTTTTTTTTTTTTGAACGAAATTTTGGATGGGGCAGAAGAAAGTTGAACCCATCCACAAATGATCACAAGAACATGGTTTACCAAAGAGATCAAATGAACTGCATAGGATAAGCGTTTTTTTTCTTGGGGGGGGGGGGGGGGGGGGGGGGGGGGGGGGAGGGGGTGGCAAACATCATTCGTAGGGTAAGGATGTTACAACACTGCATGCACGACAAACCTGACAACAGTGACAAGAAAAGAAAACCACAAAATCATAGGCCAATTTTTTTTTTTCATTATTTTTTTTTTTGGGACAAGGTTCCAATCTATTCGTGGGGAGCAGCACGTGCTGGGAACCGGGCCCAGCATCCCATATGGAAATTTACATCGAATTTTGAAAGTTTGAGATACCGGGGCCCATTACCCGGCTTTGACTGAGAGGGCTTTGAGAGAATTTTGAGCTACTTAGAAAATTACTACGACAAACTACGAAAAAAAGGTCTGCCCACAACAAAACATGCCACCACAGAGGTCCTACAAATGCTCAAAACCCTGTCGATCCCTAGCAACCCTTCTACAGCTCTCCAGCACTGTCTTACTCCCTGTCGAGCTCTTCCAGGCCTTACACCCCCACCCTGCTGGGTTACAGGGCAACACGACTCGCCCCGGCTCCAGCCAGCGTCGTCCCAGCAGCAACCCTTGGTTGTCGCTTGGAATGCCCACCCCAAAGCATCCCCAGATCTCTCTACCAGGCCTCACACTCCTGCATCAGCAGGTTACAGGGCAACACCCCAGCACCGGCCAGCATCAGTCTGGCATCGAACAGCCGCAGATCACTGAGTATATCAGCAATGGAGCCGTCTAAGATGAGTTGCTAGAAGTCCCCAGAATCTTAAATCATTCTTAAGACCCCCATTGGCAACCAAAACCAACAAACCATGGATAAAGGAAAAACTCAGAAACATTCATGGCGACTACTCAAAACTCTACCAAGTCACTAGAATATGTGTGTCAAAAAGCCTCCCAACCACGAATCAGATAGGTGAAACCTATTCAATCCATCTACGACCACCACCAGCATGGCTGTTTTCAGCACGAACCGAAGCTCTGCCAGGCCTCATGCTCCCATCAGGTTAGGTTACAGAGTTGCACCACCTTGCTCCAGCACCGGCCAGCATTGCTCCAGTTACGACCCCCGATGACCACTGAGACTGCCCCCGCAAACAGCCCCCAAGATCTCTTTACCAGGCCTCACGCCCCCACTAAGCTAGGTCACAGAGTTGCACCACCTGGCTCCGGCTCCGGCCAGCGTTGCTCCAGCATCAGCCTTCGAGGGCCGCCGAATATTCGGCCACCCTTCGCAGGATCACAGGTGACTTGCCAGGTAGCACCTATTCCTACAACCTCCTCGAGAGGCAAACCAAATGGAAAGAAATGGAAAAAAATACTAAACTCGATGTTAGAATTCTTCGAGAGAGATCGCCCCTCCCTCCACCTACCCCTCCCTCCCCCTCCCCCTCCCTCCCCCTCCCCCCTCAGCCCTGCACTGCCTCCGCCGAGGTGAGTCACCCACTCTCCCTTGGCCCCAATATAGGACCAACCCTCTACCCCTCTTTCCCCAGGAGCACGCAGTTCCCACCTAAAGCATGGCCCCCCCGCCCCTTGCCCATTTCTGCCTCCGCTGGGACTGACGTTGACCCACACACCAGCCCTTGCCCCAGAATAAGGCAACCCGCTACTGTGCCCCTATCATCTTTAAGACATTCACCCCCCACCTTGTGATGCCCCTGCAAGGTAGAGCTCCCCCCACCCCCTTCTAACCTTTCAGCCCTGTGGGAACGATCTGATCCAGCCGACTACAGTTATTGATGACACACTTACCAAAATGTCGATCGCAATTTGCAAAAGCAAAGCCTCTTCAAAAATATGCAGCTCCCTCCATATGCATGTATCACCAATTTAAGAGAAGCAAAAAACTAATTATCGGAGAGGGTCTTCAAAATTTATAGCTATAGGATTTTGCGGGTTCCAAGATTAGAAAATCATGATAGAACTTTACTTGGGACTTTAGAAATTATAGTCGAATAGTAGTTTACATAATTATAGAACAGATCCCTACGAATTGTGCTGACGATTCAGAATGGATAATATATGTTTGTGTGTATGTGTGTACATGTAGATGAGAATACTTGGGACTTTTATTAGAAATTATAGTCGAATTTCAAGGGTATGTGTGTACATGTAGATGAGAATTTGGCTGATCAGAAAATAGAGTGAAACGGTATTCACCTGCTAGCAGTAGCGAATGCAGATCCCAGGGCTCGATCCCTAGACTTACCTTACCTGTGTACATTACCTGCGTCGACCCCGAGGGTTGAACCCGTGACCTGTGTATTCGTAACAGTTGGCAGACTGTCGTAGGGTCCGTAGGTTGTCGAGGTTCGATCTGTAGACCTGTCGGATAGAGGTCTTAGGAAGTTCTAGAAGTCGAAGCTGTAGGAATTCTGAAAGGTCAAGGTCGTAGCTGCTACAGTATTCAAAAGGCCAGGACTACAGACTTCCGGAAGGTCAGAGTAGTGGCCTTTCGAAGTTGGCTCACGTCTAGACAGAGGCAAGTGGGCAAGTGGTGAAGTCCACCCTCGCTGAGTCAGCGGTACCAGTCCCAGTCAGTCCTAGTCCAGTCAAGCAAGTACCGTATGGGACTGTGTGCACCACGGGCATGGGAAAGGGGCAGACCAACGAGTTACAGACGTATAAATCAAGAGGCAGCGCCCAGCCATTCATTCACTCCTGGGTAAGCCATGCGGAAGCCCTGCTACAGTGACTTGTGCGAGGTGGTCTGCAGTATGCCTGAAGGCGAAGTGGGCGAGAAGGAGAGTTTAGCCATCGCGGTAGAGGTAGTAGCGGCCATAGCCGCCATAGCTGGAAGAAGGGTGTAGTGTATGTGTGCGTGTGTGTACAGTGTGTCGCGTGTGGGATATCCAGGGTGATCCTAAGTTGAGTGTGTGTGAACAGCAGAGTGGAGCGCAGTGACGAACAGAGAGTTGTACAGGCGCTGACGCGCCATAGCCATCTGAAGCGAGCTTGTATTTGAACTGTGTTCTGGGTTACCATATCTCTGAGCTTTGAGTGGGCGCTTGTCGCCTGTTTGCTGTGCGACCTGTTTACATGCATGTGAAGTGTGAAAGAAAGTGAGTCTGATTGCATAGAGGATAAGATTGTGAGTTTATTTTTCCAAATTTAAGAAGCTGAATTTATAACTGTGTAAGCACTAGATTAGAACAAGAATATAGGAAATTAGAAGATACAAAATTAAGATCAGCGAATCAAATTGAAAAGGCAGCCGACGCGAAGAGCGCCACACATGTTCACACAAAATTCTCCTGCTCCATCGCCGCTGTGATTATTACGCTGCTCCCTGCTTCCGTGTCTTTAACCGGTGAACCAGCTCAAACGAACGCTTGAAACCGCCAGCTCTTTTTGACGCTCCAGCTCGTAACAAGCCTCTCTCCTCCCACTCCGCATGAGAAGATGCTCCTCACCTTCTACCCGCGCTGCCCAACCAACCTCCACTAGGTTCGCGCAGGAGCTTGGGAGCAGGGCCACTACCATGCCCTAGATCTCATGAAGACTATCCTAATCAACCCGACAGCCTCCCCTTCCTCTAGCGTGTCATCTCGCGACACCACATAAACGAAGCACGGAGCAAGAGACCTCTTCAGCCTAGATTAACAAGGCTGGAAGAACCCTCAGCCGAAGCATCACGTCCATGGCCGCACCAGACAAAACCAACAGAACCTCGCGTCATCGCCTGCCGCCGTACTCCCCATTGCCCACATCAACTTCTCGATATTCCTCGCAGAGAGCCGTGCCGACAAGGCGCCACCAACACACGAACCGTCCCATGTCGATAGCGGAGCAAGAGATTATAATCTTTCCCGTTTGTTGCTTCGCTTGTTCACGTCAAAGCGCTGGCCTCATACTTCTTCTGCTCCTGCTGCTACCAGCACTTCCCCTCTCATTTTCTGTTTTTTTACCATATTGGCCATCATCAGATGGTCGACGCCCCTGAGAATGACCACGCGAAGGACGAACAGGAGAAGGAGGAGAAGAAGGAGAACGAGAAGGAGAAACATCAGCAACGAGAGCCAAGTCAGCAACTACTATATCCTGAAACTCCGGGTGTTGTGGCAAGAAAGTATCCTTAATATAGCTGCACGTTGGTAAGACAACCAAATTGTTCTTCTTAGCGAAGTCGAAGGCGAAAAAACAAAGTGAAGCAGCCAATCCCAGCCCTCTCTTGCGTGGAGGGACATATGTGTGCCGCAAATTGAGCACAGACTTAGCTTGAGAACGGTTCTCAGCAGTCTCGGATTGAGTGCGTTCAGCAGGAGTGTAATCAGCTGTGTCATGTGTCCGAGACTCAGTAGTGTTATCACCATCTGACTGCAAGGACCCACTCTCCCTTGCTCCACTCCTTCTGGATCGCTTCGTTGCCTGTTGAGGAAAACCAGGTCCAGGAACAGGACCAGCCGAGATCACATGGTATTCCAAGAACGCTTCGCCGTCTTCGGTCTCAAACCGCCGTCGGCGGTCATTGTGAACAATAGCGTTCACAGAACGCGACCTCGAGTCACCTCCGCTTGCATTTCCTCCCTCTCCTTCTCCTCCTCCTCCTCCTCCCCTTGCTATTACTTCCATCACCTTTGCCCCAGCTCTCGTAGTTCCCTTACCTTTGGCTGATCTTGCAGTAGTTGAAATCACTGCTGCCACATCCTGTTCAGCTCGTACCATCCCTCCCCCCTCCCTCCTCTCTCTCTCTCTCTCTCTCTCTCTCTCTCTCTCTCTCTCTCTCTC